AAAATATATGATATGCCGTTTTTGATAATATTTTTCATAATGATATTATCAATTTCAAAATACTGTGAATTCTTTAATTTGTAAGACTTATACACTGGTTTAAATTTACTAATATAATTTTTAATAATATTATTATTTTTTATTTTTAATAATCTAACATCACCTAAATTATAAGATAATACAAGGTTTTTAATGTCTAATGGTAAATCATAAAATATCATAATATATTTCAATCTTTATTTTATTTTAAATGCTTTTTCAAATCTAACATAAAACATATTATTAACATCTTTGGAATTCATATTAACATAAAAGAAGGAGTATGGTTTATCATCTACCGCTTTATGATACATATTTAACAGTTGCTCTTTATCAACAATGGCGGAGTTTTCCTCAATGAATGACATTAACTCTGATACATTCTTTAACTTAAAGATATACAACGAACTAGAATTCAACCTAATGATTGGAGCAAGGACACGATATTTTTGAACACTTAAGCAAAAACTAATGGCGTCGTGTCTGCCTCTCGTTGCCAGTCCATGTAATAACTTGCTGTATCTAACAAATTTAGGGTCGTCTGCAAAATCATCAACAATGATTAAAATTGAATGTAGTTTCTTCATCTTCTGTTCTTTCATATAATGAATTATCTTTCTTTGTGTGTTAATTATTTCTTCCAGTTCTTCAGGTTGGTAGGTGTCATAATATAACTTTTCTTTTTCATCATCAACCTTCATATTATCTTTTTGATATTTCTTGACTTCAACGAAGGTAGGGTCATTATGAACCGACGGGCTAAAAATGAATATACGGGCGAAGCAGTCCCTATAAACATTTAGGATAAGGTTTTGAATTAAAACTGTTTTGCCACCCGTTGATGAAGCAACAACAATTGAGCGAAAAGGTAGTTTTGGTACATGTTCATATTTAGATTGTTTGAAATCGTAATCAGTTATATTTATTGGTTTTATTATTGGAACATCAGACATAATAAAATAATATTAAAGTTATTTAGAAAATATTTTATATTTATTATTTTATATGAATAGAAGTTATTCAGATTATATTGATATAATAGATAAAGTAGAAAATATAGAACAAGTAATAATAACCGATAATAAAATTAAGAAATGTTGTTATTATTCATTAGAATTAATTAAGTTAGGAATACAATATATTAAAAATATAAATATTAATATAGATGGGAAGAAAGAAAAAGAATAAGTCCGAGCCAGTTGTTTCTTCGACTGATGAAGAAAAAGAAGAAATTGTTAAAGAAACATCAGTTATTGAGTTTGCTTGTCCAATGTGTAAAAAAATCTTAGAAATGAAAAATGAATTAGAAATACAAAAGAAAGGAAACTGTAAATGTTCGTGTATTCCGTCAAGTTTCAAAATAAGTAAGAATGATAAGAAAATGAATATTGATAAAACTAAAGACAGTATAAATCTGGAAACGGATGTTCATAATATAACTTTTAAATGGGGTAAGGATGCATCACTTTCGGAAAATGGTGATATCGAAACTCAGGAAACTATACGTGAAATGATGAAAAAATAGTATTTAAAGAGTAGATTTAACATAATTGCAACATTTAGTTTTAAAAGTTTAGTTTTATAATTTAGTATATATGGAGGAACATTTAGCGAACATTGACAGTAGTTTAGAGTTGTTGTTTCCAAGATTAGAAAAAGTGTTGGAGCAAAATGAAAACATACTGAAAATCTTAAAGAGCTTGAATATTAAACCTACATATGATAACAATAACAATTATCAAGCAAAAGAAGTAGATAGAGACAGTAGCGAATACAAAAATAAACGAAACATTTATGTTAAAAAACTGAATGAAAAAATCATAAAAGAACCTAAACAATCAAGTCTGGATTACTATCAAGTCAAGTATAAAGAAGACACCAAGAAATACGTTTAATCATTAACTAACAAAATTTCGTGTCTCAAAAGCGGTTTGTTTATTTCTGCTACTTTGTAAGTTTTATTACCCATAATATCATATTCAATTTTATCGATATTGAATATTTTATTAGACCATTTAGAGTTATACTCCTTTCTGTCGGTGTAATTACCCCTTTTCTTTTGAAACACTTTTACCTTGTCGTTCTCCACTATTCTGGGATACTTTCTTTTGTTTTTTTCTCGTAGTTTAAGATTGACCTTTACATTTATTTCATTCTCGTCCTTGTGTGCTTCAGACGGTGTCATCCTTGTTGATGAGTGAGATGTGCTGTTATACTGTTTCAATGCCGGCGTTAGGGCGTCGGTCCATTTCATGTTGTTAAACCTAACTCTATCGTGAATTTTGTTTTTCATCGTTCTAATAAAACGCTCGGCCACATTTGCGTGGGTCTTCGTAACGATGTGGTTTATTCCTTCACTGTTGAAGAAATCCTGAACGTGATTTTTAGTTGCAAACGCTCCGTCGTCATCAGAATACACGGACATCGGATAACCCATCTTTTTAAAGCTTGCTCTCAACGCCTTCAAAACGTTCTCTCCGTCTCTTTCCTCCATCGGTATTACATCTGCTAATTTACTGAAGATGTCAATCACGACTAAAGCATACTGTGGAACGTTCTTGTCTTTTGCTAAAGGAGACATATGCATTATGTCTATTTGATATTCATATCGTGCGAATGGAGCGGTATAGGAATTAGTTCCTCTATAATTTTTGATTTGTTTATTTGGCTGTTTCTTTAAGAAAGACTTTACATCGTCTAATGTTATTGTTGGGTCTTCTTCCTTTGCCTTCTTGTGTGTCGCTTGTGTGCTTCCGAAACCCTCGTCTAAGTCGTAATAGATGTTGCTGATTATTTGGTCTTTTGTTAATCTCGCCATTATATTAAATTGTTAGAAAATATTTTTTCAATAAAAACCCCGCCCCTTAACATAAAATAAAAAACTACTTAAAGAAATATTAACTTATTATATTAAGTGAAAATATGACTGAAAATGTCGGAGTGATTGCTGACTTATCAAACTGGGTGCTATCAGACGAAGAAGATGATGATAATGACAGTTATAAAAAGGAATTAGATGACGAGTTAAACAAAATAAAGGATTTCGTCAAAAGACACCCTTTGCCATCAGTTGATGAAAACGAAGAATTCTGGAAAGATGTTATTAACAGGTTTAGGGATAATAGCGGATTAAACTTGATGACAATATACTCATTTGTTAGGTTTGACATCATGAAAGAAATGTATGAAAACCTAACAGATGAAAACATCATAAAAGACTGTGGTAAAAAGTTAAACCGAGATGGGCAGTTTAATGCTATGATTATTAATCACTATATCTTATCGGGAGCGATACGGAAACTAAACACAGAAGACAGTCTAGTAGATGGACAGATGCGAATTATTGAATTCTGGTGGGATGGAATAGGTGGATGGAAAGCGTGAGTGATTTAGTTTAATGATATTATTCAATTATAATATGATTAAACCTAGTTTTTATAATCTAACAATGAGGTTAAGACATTTAAATTAAACCTGAAACCCAGACCAGCCGACCAGCAACCCCCTAGCCAAAACTACTTAAAGAAATATTACCTTATATATTAAGAGAAAAATGAGTAAGGGTAAAATGTCAGAGAATAATTTTATGGTTGTGAATTGCGCTAGCTTACCTGAAGGCTTAGTTTCAATCATCACTACTTACATTAATGGTAGTGAAGGGTGGCAAAGACTAAAACAGTGTAAAGCATTAAGGGTCTTACAAAGGAAATGGAAACCGTCTATTTACACTGAACGAGTAGGAGAAAGTAGATATTATGTTGAGATTCGCAATAAATGCTTAAAAGGTGATAAAGCGCTTTCATATGCGTTGAAACCACCAAAAGAATTATTAAGAATGATGAAGTATGATGAAGAAATACAGGTTGGAATAGTAGTTAGTTCAAAAATTATGTATAATAATAATATTTGCAACAGTCGTTCTTATTCATCATCTAAACAGAATAAGATTTCAAGTAGAGCGTCATTACAATACCATATTGAACAAGCAGTTGAAGAAACCAAACAGACTATGAAACGACACGAAATCATTACTATCGAACATGTTGCAATTGAAATTTATAGAAAACAGAAACAATGATTTCATGGCTTAATCATAATATTTAATTATAATATGATTAAACAGTGTAAACTTTTATAACCTTTCATTATACTGTAATTTCAACCTATAAAACATAACTAGACAATCACATAAAAATCACATAAAAAGAAGTTGTTAAGATATATTAAGAAATGGTTGTGAAGCAAACTATAATGAATAATTATGGAATGACAGAAGAAAAAGCAACAGAAGACTATGGTGAATTCTTCAAATGCAACAGATGTCTTTATGATAAAACAATTGATGAATTTGGAAATGTAAAAAGTGGAAGAAGATATAAATATTGTCAAGAGTGTAGAACAAAAATAAATAATTGTAGAGATAAACGTCAAAGAAACAAACGACCCACCAACACCCCAGAACTTGATAACTACTAAAAGGGCTACCTCTTTCAAATGAAAAAAATGTTTGCCCCCAGCCCAACAATGAACAAGGCGACAATTTACCCAAATGATTACCTTAACGAAAACGATAAATAAGCTCCCTAAAAACCCTCTTTTAAAAACGAATAAGGGGGAACATAGATTTGAGATGAACATAAAAACCATAACAGGCAACCATCAACAGACCACCCCCCAGGCCCCCTACTTTCTCCATTTTTTGGAGGGGGGGGGGGGTTGGACGTTGGGGAGGCTGAAAGGGTTGGGATTTCAAAGGGTTGGGTTTGAAAGGGTTGGGAGGGTTGGCTTCTTGGGCTGCGCGCTCCAGATCGAATGACCCGATCTGCGCTTTGGTCCAAGTCTTATTCCAGCTTTTCGGGGGGCTCCTAGCCGCGTGGAACCTAACTGCTTGCCGGGGTCAAAAAGAAACGAACAGGGGGGTTGGGGTGGGGGTGGGAAAGCCGAGTCAAGACCAACGTCAGGAGTTTGCCAAGCGGCTGAGCTCCGCAGCTGCATCGAGCTTTGTGCAGGAGGGTGGTTCGGTTTGGGTCGGCTGGAGCGTCACCCGATGTTTGGCTCAAGCAACGTTGAGTTGCCATGTTTGAGAGGATTCTCCATATTCCTTGCCTTGGGGGATTTTAGGTCTGTTTACTTTTGGACCAACTCCATGGGGGGTCTGCCTGAGCACCCCCTTTCTGTGCCATATGCTCCGCAGATGACTCCAGCGAATTTTGCACACGCTTGGACTTGAAAGGTGAGACAGTGCCTGTGCCTGAGGCCAGTCCCCCTTGTCTTTTGTCTTTAACGGTGTTTGCGGGTTGCCTGCTACGGAGCCCATGGTTTCGAGTTCCTGGAACCGAACAACCCTGAAGCTTAGAGAATCACCGGGGGTCACTCGGGGAATGACCAGTACCCACAGGGTTGACCGAGCTACTCCGGTGACTACCACTTGGTTGTGAGATGCATTCATTGGCCGCGCAGAATCTTTGGTCAGTAGGACGGCAGGACAGTGAAAGGAAGCACCCCCCCCGGAGAGTCCATCGAACGTTGTTTTTTTTCTTCTCGGCTCACGGCAGGATGGCATGAATGCCTCTTCCCAGCTGGTGTCAAGGAGCCGAAGCAATGTTTGGCTTTGGATGGTTGAGTTCTTCACTGCGATGCACACACACAAACCGGCGTGTCGAAACCTGGGAATATCGTTGGGGTGCAAAACACGGTACAGGACTCCAAGATGAAACCTCAGCATGTGGAATGCTGGGCTTTGACACACAAAGTTCGGAGTACTCCGGAGCGTACCAGTCGCATAAATTGCTACGCACCAAGTCTCAATGAATGCGAAGTGTTGGGCTTCAGTCGATCAAGCTTTCGCGAAACAATGGGGGTGTCTCCTTGAACGGGGAAGCAATGCACAGCCAGAGGGGGCAGAGTCCAGCCTCGAAGTTCTGTCAAAGGATTGGGCATGAGGCAGAACCCTCTCGGCCATGGCACGGGGATGCTCTGAGATTAACCTTCCAGGTACCCTCCCGCAAGTGTTCTGGAAATAGGAGAAAATGCAGGACCCTGAGCCTCTCAGTTTGCGCATGGAAGGCAATAGCCGAAGAGCATCCTGGTCAAAACGTATTGTTTTTGTGTTTTTGGATATAAGGAGTGTAGCCAAACCAACATTCTCCATACAGCAGGAGTTATGCCAAGGGCCAAGCTAGCCCGGCTTGGGCATACCCATTCTTACCTCCTTTTTAAGGTCTAAAGAGATGAATCTCAGATTTTGAAAGTCGATCAAGCTTGGCCACTTCGGAACCTCAAACCCTGACAGAGCCCTGGTCTATGTCACGTTGAAGTGTTTCCACAGGAATTGGAAGGCCATCCGATCATGTGGCAGCAGCTTGAGGCAGCCCTTTGCTTTGCACACCAATTGCCTGCTGGACGTTCCAGTGAAATCTGTCAGGATGTGTGGCAGCGATTCGGGGTCCCTCGCCTTCATGCAGGAATCGCGGAGTCGGCATTTTCTGGGGGGCTGTTTGGGCAAATATCCGGAGGTGTGGAGGAAGCAGGTGGGGTGGGCATCCAGCTGCTGATCTACACTGCGAGCGCTGAGAATCAACAGGGTTCGTCCCAGTGGGGCGAGGTGAACCGAGGGAATCCGACAAAAAGATCACAGGACACTTTGCACTGGTGCGACATGGCATGTTCAGAAACAAGTCCAAGCTGGGCCACTTTTTGTGATACCAAGTATCCCCTTTGAACTGATCAAGTAGTCACAGACAGGATGATTTCCGCAATGATGCGGTTCAGGGCAGAGGGAGCCAGCGCCTCCAAACCATTGCCTTTTTGTCCGCCCCTTTTTGGGCGCCGATCCTACCCACGAGCTTGGGACCTCCAGCGCCAAAGCGCGCCGCAGGCGCAGTCCTCGGCTGCCACGATGAGGCGCCGGTCCAGGCACGAGAAGCACGAGGCGGCTGAAGAGCCGGAGCGGATGGGTTGGAACTTGGTGGGTGCATCATCCTTTCTGTTCGATTTGTTTTTCTTCTGTTGGGTCATCTAAGGACATACAAAACGTCAGCAACATACGTCCCCTCTGCAGTATTTTTGGAATCCCTACAAGGGGGTGGTCCAAGGGTGTTTCCCCAAGGCTCCCCAAGGCTCCCCAAGGCTCCCCAAGGCTCCCTAAGGCTCCTTAAGGAACCCTCCCAGCTACCCCCCCCCCCGTATACCTACCCCCTTAAGGAATTCCATAAAGTCAGGACTCGCACGCTTTGCGACCCTTTCTCACTGTTGGGACATTTAAGGACATATTTGCCCCAGGGAAGTAACGTCCTCTCCTGGCAGTCGCTGATCCCGTGAGGATGGCCAGATGCACCGATGGTTCCTTCATGACTGTTTGTGAAGGACAAACAAGTTTTTGCAGTAAATGAGCATCATGCTTGCATTTATGCACTCCCATCTACCTTTGGACTACTCTCATCTAGCTTACAGTGCTCACATCACCTGGGAATACGTCCATCAACCTTGGTATGCTCCCGTCGCGGCTTTGGAATGTTGCACGCTGAAGTTGGCTTTGCTTGCCGCTCGGTTTTCCTAGGCGCTGGTGATGGACGAGGTCGCCTGGAAGAGCCCCAACATCGACGACTCCCTGGGACCCTCGCCTTGCATCGATTGGACTCATTCCTTGGATCGAAGTAAGGCATGTCTTTGCTCAATGTACAAACTAAATAGTAGATATAGAAACAAAATAAAGAAAGGGGTTGCATTTTGTGGGTCCACGCTTCCCCAGCAAAAAAGTGAGGGTCCCGTGCTCACCTTTGGTTGGCTGCCGCCCTGGGTTTGCGTGGCGGCGTGGTGCACGGAGCCCGAGGGCAACAACAAGTCCCACCATCAATCCCTCCTAGGTCCCCCAGTAGTGCTCTTTTACCCCTTTTTTTGGGGAGGGCTTTTCTACTAAAATAGACTACAGAAAAAAAAGGGTACTCTTCTTCTACCCTCTCTGCTGGAGGACCTAGCCTCCCAAACAGCCATCTTCATCTCCAGTGCCACCAACTCCACAGACGCGCACACACTGCCCCCCACACTACTTCATTTCAACTTGCTGCCATAGCGCGTCAGCATGGTGTCCCACCGGGAATTTCTGAGGCGCGGTGGTGAACCTGGAGCGCCTCGGCAGGGATGGATGCACGTTTTTGCCTCTCAGCGTGTGTCTCAAGGTCGACAGAGTCGGGTCGTTTCAGAAGTCTGGGATGCCCTCAATGTTGCAGGGTCTTGTTGCCTTTGTTTTTTTGCAGCCAACAGCGAAAGAGGGGTCTTGAGGAAGCGCTCATTTGAGGTAACTAGCGGTTCTGGACCTAAAGAGGCCAGGTCCAAGTTCGTTTGCGGAGGAGAATGGGGGCGCAACCATTTCCCAGAATAATTACCAATTTACCCACATTTTTCATGTCCTCTTGGCCAAAGAATATTGAAGGGCTATCTACTTTGACCTCCGGTTTGATCAGCTTGGCCCTGCGCTACAGCAATCCCAACCTAAAACGACCCCAGTACCATAAGTACAGCGCAGATGTTTTGCCCTGCAGTTTACGTGCATGGTCCAAAAGCTCAACCCGACGTGGCAACTGGAGTCGATCAGGTTGAGTGCCGGGTCAAATGTTTCTATCAAAGCCGACCGCTTTGATCGATCCCAATGCGTACCAACAGGCTGGGACCCATTCAGGATCCCACCTGAAAGCAACCCGAATCCTCTTTGCCACTAACTTGGCACCTGAGAGTCCCTCCAATCGGAAATTTGATCTTCCAGGTATCCTTCAGGTGCCAGGTGAGCGGGAGGGAGGGAAACCCGGAACCTTCTGAAGTGGTACCTCAAGTTGGCAGGAAAGCTCCCTAGGAACCCTAGAAAAGGGATGTATGAGTCCTGAAGGTTCCTCCAATCGAAATTTAATCCAGGTATCCCAAGAATTTGATCTAGGTATCCCACAGTTGCCTTCCTTTTGTGAGCGGGAGGGAAACCCTTAAACCTTCTGAAGCGGTTGGCAGGAAACTCCCTAAAATATTTCGGAGCCCTAAAGCAGGAAGACTCCCTAGAATATTTAGGAACCCGAAAGAGTGGCTATAGGAGTGCTAAAGGTTCCCATCCCAGGAATTCGATCCCAGGAATTTGATCGATCCCAAGATTTTCACGCAAAGCCCTAAGGTTTGATTCCCCATTCTCTTCACCCATCGTTCTCCAGAAGAAACCGCCTGTGTTGCAGGTGTTTGGCCCATTTGAGGAGCAGGATCCCTAAAACGAGAATGGGGAGGGTCCACAAAAAATTCACTCGTTCTCTTTAGAAACCACTTGTTTTGCAGGTGTTTGGCCAGAATGGGGAGGGTACCACAAAAGCGGTAGAGGTCAACTTTGCCACGGGAGAGGTCCTACGACTGGGCCACGGAGCCTTTGAAGCACCTGGCCGGCGCCTCCCGCGCAGCCAACGGGGAGAGGCTGAAGGTGACGCCCGGAGCCCCAAAAATTTGACGGGTCGGAAGTCGAGGGGTCGAGTGGGCTGGAGAAAGAGAACGACTCATAGTTGGTTTGGTTTTTTGGTTTGGTTTGTTTTTTGTTTGGTTTGGTGTGGGTTGGTTTGTTTTTTGTTTGGTTTGGTTTGGTTGATTGGGGTTGGTTGATTTGGTTTGGTTGGTTGGTTGGGTGTAGGAATCTAGGTTCTTCGGGTTCCACCCTCCAAGTTTTTTTTGGGGGTTTGCTGGGTTCCTGACTGAACATGTTCAACCCGCCAAAAGCCCAAATCCCCGTTTTTGGGTTTGGGCCTCTAGGCTTCGGAAAAGCGCCGAAAAGGCCACGGTGGTCGGGCCCGCACTGAGTGGTCGTGTTGGCTTCATGTTGGTTTCCCCGATTGAGACCAGCCAACGGGGGAAAAAGAGGGGGGGGGGGAATACCCCTCACACAAGGTGCATACCCGTTTCGCCAGATTGGATGACATTGGGGGGAAACAAACATGCCCAAAGATGCAGGAGCCGCATGCTTTTCAGGGCGCGTTGGAATCTTCCTCATTTGAACGCAGAGAGAAGCGACATGGGAAGCGGTGTAGATTGGGCCACGTTGAATTGGCGGGTTGGCAGCTTGTTTGGCAGATCGCATGTATCGTGTTTGGTTGCATACAGTATCCGCATCTCTGTTCAAGCACAGCCGACCGTGCGGCGAGTACAGGAAGAATAGAGATTACGAGTCAATTTACCTGCAATTCAAAAGTGACCCCAACAGAATGGCAGGCCGTGGCAGACAGCCTGACATCAATAATCAACCATGTTTGCAGAACAAAGCTAGCTGATAGTTTCCAGTTTCCAGTGGCACAAATGTATCCAAGGCCTTAAGATATTACAGACACTATTCTCGGCAGATGTGAGGGAGTTTGCTGCAGTCCCTTCCGATTTTAGGCACAGCAGCAACCCCTTCGGCTCCGACCACATGAGCTTTCTGGAGAAGGGCATGCAGAGTGCCGCTTGGCGCGGGACGTTTTCAGCTTTTCCAGGTGGGTGTGGCTCAAAATTAAACAGCTGGGGCTACGCAGGTTTTAGTCTACCTTTCTATGTACCAGGGTTCCATTTTGGACCCCATGTTTGAGCCACACCCAGGTGTTTGCAGAAGGTTTCACCGCAAAAAACTGTTGTGAAGACGTGGGGGGTTTGGTATCCCAGGGTCAAAACGAGAGGCGTGGCCATGTGCCAGTGAGAAACATCGTCCAAGGTCCTGTCCATCCATGGGGATGATGAGAATTATCCCCACTACCACCAGTCCTCGGACGCCATGGACCAGGCAGGATCTTGTTGGTTTTGTGGCGAAGAGATCGCAGGGCAAGCTTTCCCCGGATTTTGCCGGGCAAAGTTTCTCCACAACTCCAACGGGTTGCTCTACAGTGCACAGCCGACCAAAATCAATCCGCCGAACTGCCGGGGGAGGGATGGCGGTGGGCTTTGGGGCTGTGGGGTGGTGCCCAAAAAAGCGTCAGGTGAGCCACAATCAAAACCCGGGTAGATGAATTTTGTAAGGGGCAGTCCCAGCCAGAAATAGTTGCGGATATCCGCCTTCTTAGTTCTTTACATGGTTCTGGGCTTGGACCATTTGAATACCGGGTTTTGATTGTCACTCAGGTGAACTCAGAGCTCTACACCATGATCGCCAAGATGAACGCAGGCGGGCACGCGCCGCTCGCTTTTCCTTTTTTTGGTTTGGACGCTCAGTGGGGTTGGAGGCGGGGGGGGATCCACAAAACGGGGCAATGGCTTGTGCGAATTTGGGCCTCTGGTAGGTGTAGTATGTCGGGAACCTTGCCCTCGTTTAGGGACCTTTAGCTGTGGAGACAACACCCGCTTGCAGTTTGGTTGAAGCCTGTCACGTGCTGCCACATGTGTCCTTGTGAAAGGGGCACCAAGGCTTGAAATCTGATCCACGGGTTTTCATAGAACATATCATATTGTCTAGTGGCTTCCTCCGGAAGTCGCATGATTTTGGAGTTCCGAGACCAGATAGATCGACAAAGACCAGCGAGAACCCATGATATACCCAAGCGATACTTTTGACCGCCTTCCTGGCAAAATGGAAAAGGAAGGGACCCCCTTGCAGAGCTTTTGGTTGCATTTTTAGGACAACAAGGGGGGGAAAGACACATCGTTCACCGGAAATGTGTACCAACCCAGCTTGCCACGGGGCTTTGGGCAGGAGCAGCCATCCGCTTGGCGGGGCACGCATGAGCGAGCGTAGCCAGAATATCTTCGTCTCACCATTGTGAAACGCGAGCGCGGAGGCTTCCCAGTTTCTGCCGCTCGAACCAGTCAAAGGGTCAAGAAAGTTGCATGTGAGCCAAACGAATGGGACTTTCTTTATGTGATGCTGAAGAAAAAACCGTTCGATCACCACCAGCCAAGTGTGCCTTCGCTTGGTTGCCAAGCCGGAAACAAACTCCAGTACCTTTTGAAGCAAAGGATCAGTCGATCCAGCTCGACGTTGAGCCGTCCATAAATGTTAGCGTAGGTGAGCGCTGTGTTCGGCTGCCAAGCAGCGGTGTCATGCTTACCGAATCACTGGCATCATGAGGGGACAAGAAGCGGCATTTGTGGGGCAAGGACTTCTGCTTCTTTGGAATAGCTAAGACATGCTAGATTATTTTAGACAACAACGCTAGTGATTGCTAGAAGTGTCGACCAATTTAGTCAAAGTATTCGGCATGTACGTTTTGTTGAACAGAAGACATTTTTCCAGAGTGGATCGATGTCCAACGTCTACGGTTAGCCAACGCAATACATTTTACCTGACTAAAACGATACAAGCGTGTCTGGCATCAGCGTTGGTGACCGCAAGCTATCCTTGGAGACCAACATGATGGTGTCGACCAACTGAGCATCCGACATCTGCATTTACTCCACGAAAGACAGCTTTCTACTACATTTACTCAAGGAGATGCTGGGGGGTGTCGACCACTCAAGCCTGTGAGGCAGAGAAGCCTGTGAGGTTGAGAGAAATTAGAGGTTAGTGGTGACCAACATTTGCCGGCACTTTCTTGGGTCAGACTCCCCCTCTTCAACCTCTAAGAACATAGCTTGCCCCTGCGCCAGAGTGGTGGCTTGGAGGTCTGGCGCGGAAATCAACCTCATTCCCCAGATAGCTGAAAGCTATAGGGGTTCTAACTTCTAATAAAGAGCGGTTCTAACTTCTAAAGCTATAGGGGTTCTATGCTGGTGTAATCCTTATATTTGTTTACGAAATCTGTGACCCACAAGACCTGCCTATTTGGTGGACCGAATCGCACTCCACGATTGTGCCGTGTCCTCGTCAGTGATTCTGGTGCCTTGACAATCTCGCCAGCCGCAGTGAAAAGGGTCCGCGGCCCACGCTGGCGCTGGAATACCTTGGTTGCATGCCACCTCGTGGCTGGGTCATCCAGCTACTGCTGGAATCTTGGCTTGTGGTACTGTGGATTCCCGAAGTATTGCAAGTGGGAAGAAGGGATGGCCCAGTGTGTGACCCTGCTTTATTGCTGGTATACTTGCAACAGGTGGGAAAGCTATGGGCTATACTCTTCGCCACGAATCATCGCATTTGCAGGGAGTTTCTGTCCCACCAGCGAGTGGGTCCGATAGACCGTGAGAGAAGCAAGTGCCTACCCCGGAGACCCGCTGTGCCCGGCCACATTCCCTTTGCTTGCCTCCTTGAAAATCCATTGAAAAGTTCTTTGATTTTCAAAGGTTCCCATTTTCCCCTGACCCCCCTTCCTTTTGGCCTCTAATTTTTGGGTGATTCCAGACTTGAGCATCCTTGTGCTTGTGTGTAATTAACCATAAGGAGGTGCCCTGCCAAAAGGGCCATTCCTCGACGCGAAGAGCGAGCATGCTCTTTCAGAGCCGGCCACTTGCAGAGTGCCTCGATGCGTTCGCGTTTGGATCGGGGGCGATGCCTTTCTTCCCCGACACCTTGCCTTGAAGTATGCCATGGCTCGATTGGGGCAAAGGGCATCCTTCAACAACATCACTTGCCCAAAGCGAATCGACTTTCTGTACCTTTTGGTGTTCCTTTTTTGGCCGATGTTGAGTCATGGCCCCTTTCAGGCGATCACCTTTTTCCAGATCCTTTGGGCACCAAGCCACAGCACGCTTCAGTCACACTCAACTTGGGAACATCTTCCTCTTGGCCTCCAACCGGGGAATCGGTTCTGCGGCGATTTTTTTTTTCCTCGGCAGAACCTGCTCCTGGCCTGCCCTACGCTGGGCCAGCATGGAGGCAGGCCGACCGCGTGACCACCGGCGTGGGGATTGGAGAGGCTGTGAAAGAGAACCATCTGTTTTTGTTTCTTATTCTTTTTGTTTTGGTTTTTGAGACATCATCAGTTTTTGTTTTGATCGGGAGGTGTTCATTTCTTGCCACCATCAGTTTTGGTTTTGATAAAGAGAAAAGCATTGCATGCAGGTGTTGTTTTGCCCATGGCTCACAGCCGTACCTTTGGAAGACTTTCTTCCAAAGAGCTAAGCTGAACTTTGCCCCCACAAAGCGCGCCGGTTTGTACATCTTCCTGCCCACTTCCTCCCGTTTGGTGGTTTGGCGCCCGTTGGTTTGGTGGTTTTGATTGGGGTTTCCCATTTACCCTCTACAAGAACCAGGGGTGCAAATTTTGCACCACCAATCGAAGCCGAATCGGGTGGCCTGCTTCGTGGTTTGTTTGCGACAGCTGCTCAGGCGCTCCGGCTGGAGCAGGCTCCTTAGAGTTTGGCAGTTGGATTTCAGCATTTTCAGGGGTCATATGGCGACTGCGCCCATATGACGTATACATGTAAATCTATATAGATATACAAATGTATTGAGGATAATCTTTGGACCAGACCCCGAGACTGCTTGGGAGCACTTCCCCCGCCGCATGCTGCGGTGCACTCCCAGGTAAATTCCCTTGGCCTGAGATTCATGTGACATGTAACAAGATGCAACGCATTGACCTGCTGAAGTTCAATGCAACGTATTGCACAACGTGTGCAATGTGTAGCGCCAAGCAATGCTGTGCAATGCACTGTGTAAGCTACTGTAATGTAACGCAGTGTGACGTAGGGTAAAAATAGTGTAATTTAGTGTACGAGAGTGTGATGTAGAATAATGTAGTGTGATGTAGTGTAAAGCAGTGTCGCGATGCAATGAAGTCTACTGCAACAAATCGCAACGCACCGCAATGTAGTGTACTGAAATGGCATTCAATGCAATGGAATGCAATGCGACGCGATGCTATGTGTTGTAGTAGTGCAACATCAGTCAGCCAAAGTACAATGTAATTTGACGCAATGTGATGCAAGGCAATGTCGTGTTATGTAGTGTCATGTAGAGTAGTGGAGCGTAATGCAACGTAGTTCAATGTAATGTAATGTACTGTAATGTAATGTATTGTATGCAATGCAACAGGTAATGTAGTGTGTTGTCATCTTAATTTCAACATCTTGATACTACATTCACATTAAACCATGAAATCTAATCATTATGATTATCTTCAATACATAATTACAAATTCGACATATTATAATTTTGACATGTGGAACACGTCCAAAGAACCATCAATCAAACGATTCGATCTCAATCCCATGTCGAGTCTCTGCGTTCAGCTTCCGGCCGTTTCGTCGTTTCTGTGTCGGGGCCGTTTAGGGTTGTGTCCATTGTTCTAGGATATATTGCAATGCAAGGAAAGGTACTTTGAAATGCAATGCAATGCAATACATTGCAATGTAATGCAATGCACCAGAATACAAAGCAAGGTCATTCAATGTACTTCAGTGCAAAGCCTTGTAATGCAATACACTGCAGGGCAGTGTGGTGCAATGCAACATATTTCATGTACACCTACCTACACATCATGTTTCAGCCACTTTTTAAATTTTGCGCTGCCAAAGATAGATTAAGGCAGTGAAAGGACAGGTTATGGGTGTCTCTCAACTCAGCATTGACCGCTAGAGTAGCAAGGGTCCCCTTGCTCTGAGGAACAAATCAAACAGTTCGGGCTCTCACTTTCGCTGTCACTCTCACTTCTTTTTTTGCGCGACCACAGCGATTTGGTCAATGTTGCCCCAAGGAAAGTCTCCACAACCTTTTCGCTCATGGATGTGAAGGAACAACTCAAAAATGTTGGTTCTCGAAATGTGACCCAGAAATCGGCCGTCTCCTTTGTGTACCATCAGTCTCCTTCTGGTTTCCCTTTGAACCCATCCCTGAAAGGGGTAACCTCAAACAGACTGGCGCTTAGTGTTGCGGCAGACACTTCCAGCGAGTCGTGAGGCTGGGCCAGCGCCGTGTCGCCCTGCGCTTTGCGCGACATGCTGGCAATGCAACAGCCTCGGACTGCCTGGCGGGTGTCGAAAGCAAATTTGTGTCATGTGCAAAAAGCTCGTATTTTTTCAGGGGGTTGGGCGGATTAGTTAGGAAGGGGGAGCTTGAAGACGCGATTTACCTCAGGTTCCGGTTTCTTTTGGGGAAATCATGACCCACATATGGAGTTTGATGGCATTGAAAGTCATACTGTAGCTCATTGGTCGCTTTTTGCTTGAGCGTGGACGACATGGTGACAGCTTTACTGCTGCAGCCCAGGCGAGTCGGACACCTTGGGAGGCCGGCGTGCTTTCAGATTGAAACTTTGCATGCCCCACAGCTTTCTGGGTGTGCCCGTTGTTTTGGGGTAGCCTTCTTCAAGCTGGTTTAAAGCGAAGCCAAAAGGAAAACTACTGTTCATGGGCTCCCCCCCCATTGCATCATGCGCCATAGCGTTCTGGGTGTGTTGTTTTAGGTTGCCTTTCTTCAGGCTGGTTTAAAGGGAAGCTAAAGAGGAAAACCATTGTTTTTGGGTCCCCCCCCATTCTAGCAGATACCCTTCCTTTGCCCCTTGCTGCACTGGCACGCTGACCCAGGGGCAATGCGAGCGCCTAGACGGAGTACCGGTGAGAGACTTCTGTGATTGGCTGCAGGGAAAGGCGCCGAAGCCGCAGCGTTACGCGTTGCAGGGTTTTGATTCCAAGGCGTTACGCTTACGCCCAGGAGAACCAAGCGGGTGTTGATATCAATTTTCCCTTGACAGGCCCCCAAATATGACTATGGGTAACCTTTCCATGCGGGACATATCATTTGTTGGGGGGGGGGGTTCCCCAATGGTCAAACTCTGGATTTAAACCTACCCCATTTGCGGTTTTGGGGGAAACTGACCAACTTTTTGTGATTTTTAGTGGGGGAAGCTTACCAACTCTGGATTTAAGCCTACCCGGGGTTCTCCAAAATGGAACCCTGGTTGTGGGTGTCATTTGTGCGCTGGTTTGGGAAGAGGGATAAGGACGAGCACTGCG